ATGTTCACAGCAAAAAAAAATCTGTTCTACAATTATTTTGATTAAATTTTTCGAATGATGCGAAATTAATTTGGTTCACACTGAAATTTAGAACAAATGGTTTTAATTTCTTAGATGCAGCTGTCGCTAGAATTTAAAGTCAACTGAAGCCAACACGAAACGACTTCAAGGTATTTTTGACTGGCTTTCTGGATCTAAAATGCATAACCTCTTCGAAAATTTTTGTTGAAATATGTCATAAAAACTGTCATCTATGAGTTAAAAAATGCCGTTCTGACAATTTTTAACTCGAACATCCATTGTAAATCATTGTATTACTATTTTTCATTTTTCACTGACATGAACTTCTGGGAACGTTTTCGGCATACTGTTTTATCGGTTCTCTGTCCTAACACCAATCGAACACTATTTGTAGAGCACCCACCTGGCACAGCTGGTCGCCTGTCTCTAAACCAGACACACTTGTCGGCGTTGAGTTCGAGTTAAGCTGAAACAAAACAACTGGTGGCTTAGTGGATGGGGGTCTTCGATAATACCAACAATTTTTGGCTTTGCATTGATCTTTTCGGCTTACAAAAAGCTTCGAGGCGCGAGCATCGATGCTCTTATTTTATCGATTCAATTATTGTGTCAATTATTTTATCGATTCAATTATTGAACAAATGATAAATGATTCGAACTCGGTATGTTTTTTTTTCAGACAAATTTTGACTTTTTAATTAATAATTTTTGACTGAATGCCCACTTTCTGAAAAACTAAAAAATTGCTTTGAGCTCGAATATGAAGTTGCGCGTGGGGAGGGGCTATGATATCAAAAAATTTCCAACATTTTCTTATTGATTTTTATGGAATTCTTAGCAGAATACTATACCATACATTTTCCCATACTGAGTAAATTTTCTATTTCAGACCTGAAAAAATCTTGTTCAGTTCTAAAATTTAAGTGTAAAATAAGTTGCGATTGCGATTGTTACAAAAACTCTTTTTGAACCAATATGTTGTTTTTTTTTCTAAATTCAAACGTGATCAAAATGTAAAATCTTTTTCCTGGAAAAAATTTAAAAAGCCATCTCAATTTATATAAATGTCCGCACTTCATTCATTGATACGTTAAAAAACAAAGCTTTAACTGTATCCGAAGAAATTTTTCATTTTTGACTGATCTAAAATTATCCACTGATTAAATCGGGACTCAAAGAAAAAATGAAACTTATTAATACAATTAAAGTTTTTGTTTCAGAAAAGGCGTATCTATCTGTGTTGTTTACTTTAATTTTAAAAAAACGCTTCCTTAATCCCACTCCTGTTTATTTCAAGCTCATTGTCTTGTTGTTCCGACTTTCCATACGAAAGTAACGGAATATTTGTGCTCGGGGTGGGTTTTTTTTTCTTCAGACAAATTTCGACTTTTTAACTAGCCATTTCTGACGGAATTTTTTTATATCATTCGAAAGGTATTGTTGTCTTGAGCTCGAATTTGAAAAAATAGTTCACCTGTGATTATTTTTCGTAAAGTTATGAGGGTTTAAAGATTGCCATTTTGGTCAATTTGGGACAATTAACGCGCAATATATTTCGCGCTATTAACGCGTGAGCGGAGAGTTAATCCGTCTTAGAAATCGTTCCAAATTGGTTTAACGAAGCTTATTTGCCATAATTGATTTGTTACAATACTTGTTTTGTACTTTTTATGGCGTGTATGGGGATGATTTTTATGAAATAAATTCAAATTTTTGAAAAAAAAATTTCATTTTGTTTAATTACTTTTAATTTTTTAACGATATTACTGCTCCATAAACTTTAATGGGCAGTGGGAACATTCAGGGCTGTTTACAACAAATCCTGATACGAGCAGTTTTGTTGTCTTTCAATCCAACGGCAGCTAGCTGACTGAAAAAGAGACGGAACTAAATTAGTCTAACGCTGTTTGCAAGTTAAGCCTAATAAGAGATAAGTCGTTTCAGTAACTGTCTAAAATTAGTTGCAAATTTAAAGTTTTCTTAGTAGGAAGAGATGGATTTTCAAATGACATTATGCTTATTTTTTACTGCTTGATTTAATGCGAAATTCATTACATGGCGCAATTGAAGCGCTCCGTTTTATTTTATACTTTTATTTTAAACTAGATTTTATTTTATTCTCAGCTTAACTTAAGTTGCGACGTTACTCTCAGAGGCTCCTCAAACATAGGATAAACGAGGAAGTTCTAACCAGGTTTGTCCATGACAACAACAAGCTCATAGTATAATATAATGGCATAAGAAACTGGGAAATTGAATTTATGGTGGCGTATCAACGTGCCGAAAGGTCAGTTTGGCGAAAAAAAAATGTGAGTCTGCCAAAAAACGAAATTCAGTTTCTCTGCCGAAAAGCATAAACTTTCATGTTTACAAAAAAAACGTTTGGAACGAACGGCAGATTCTTACTGGTTTTTTACTGTACTTTTACTAATGAAATTTGTTCATCTCAGCAAATTAGAGACAAGACTCAATTATAGTGAGACAAAACTCGTTTTTTTATTTCACTTGCAGCGCAGCAAATTTACTGCCAAAAATAGACAAGGTTCAACCAGGTCAGGCCGCAAATATTTAACCTTGTTTGTTGCCTTTTGGCAGACTGATCTTTCGCCAATTTTTTTAATATACAGATTTTTTAGATGTTCTCTCACAATGACCTGCATTTTTGGCTCGACCTCTTTTAACCACCAACAAAAGAGTTCTTATTGATCCATCCAACTGAAAAATGTTGAAGATTTTTGTCATCGGTTGTGCTTTTTTCTCTTTTTTTTGTTTTTGTTTTCCACGCAAAATCAGGTACCACAATTAATCGTCGGATTGGGTAGAGTGATACCTCTTCTTAAAATTGTTTCACTCGTGACTCAAACAACCTTTAAAAAAAAAAACAATTTTTTTTGCAGCTAGAGAAAAACTGGTTTGGAGTTTTTGCTTTTCGTCTAATTTCGAGCGAGTAAAGCGATCAAGCATACTTATTTTTGGTTAACTTGAGCTGCTTACGAATGCTTATTGTTCCGACTTTCGATACGAAAGTAACGGAATATTTGTGCTCGGGGTGGGTTTTTTTTTCTTCAGACAAATTTCGACTTTTTAACTAGCAATTTTTGACGGAAATTTTTAATATCATTCAAAAGATATTGTTGTCCTGAGCTTAAATTTGAAAAGATATTTCACCTGTGATCATTTTTCGTAAAATTATGAGGGTTTAAAGATTGCAATTTTGGCCATTTTGACCAATTTGGGACAATTAACGCGCAATATAATTCGCGCTATTAACGCGTAAGCGGAGATTTAATCCGTCCTATAAATCGTTCCAAATTAGTTGAACGAAGCTTGTTTGCCATAATTGATTTGTTACAAGGAACAAAATCTATCTTTTTGTACTTTATGTGGCGTTTGGGGGGATGATTTTCATAAAAAATTTCAAATTTTAGAAAAAAATTTCATTTTATTTTATTTCATTTAACTTTTTTAATGTATTACTGCTGCTCAATAAAGTTTGACTCTTTTACTATGACTGTCCACTATGTCTAAGTTGTAGTTTTTGTCTGTTCCTTTTATCACACCACGCAGAAAAACCAACACTAATTTGAAAGAAAAAACGAGACTGCTCGTATCAGGGCGAAGCCTTGAATGTTCCGACTGCCTTTTAAGGTTTATGGAGCAGTAATAACATTAAAAAATTCAATGAAATAAAACAAAACAATTTTTTTTTCTAAAGTGTGAAACTTTTTATGAAAATCATCACCCCAAACGCCATACAAAGTACAAAAGGATAGATTTCGTTCCTTGTAACAAACCAATTATGGCAAATAAGCTTCTTTTACCAATTTGGAAAGATTTCTAAGACGGATTAACTCTCCGCTTACGCGTTAATAGCGCGAAATATATCGCGCGTTAATTGCCTCAAATTGGCCAAAATGCCAATGTTTAAACCCCCGTAACTTTACGAAAAAAAATCACAGGTGAAATATTTTTTCAAATTTGAGCTCAGGACAACAATACCTTTCGAATAATATTTAAAAATTCCGGCAAAATTGGCTAGTTAAAAAGTCAAAATTTGTCTGAAGAAAAAAAAACCCACCCCGAGCACAAATATTCCGTTTATTTCCTATCGAAAGTCGGAACAAAAATGAGTTCGTTTTTGCCTGCTATTTTGCAATTAGAACCAAGTTTTGCAGAAAAAATTAAATGAGATGGAATAAAAAATCATATTAAAGCCTTCCAACTCAATTAAAAACTATTCAAAAAATCCCTCAGTTTTCTCGGCACAAACACCTTTGTTTAAAATTTTTGTGTTTTCCAGACAAATTCATTAAATAAGAGTCTGTCGTCATTTAAACAATAAGTTTTCATTTTTTGTCCAGTTTGCTTATTTTATTATGACTATTGAAGAAAATGACACTAATTTGAAAAAAAGTTTGCGTTTTTTAAGGCTATGGTCACAACTTTTTGTGCTATTCGCAGAAGAAACGGCTCTCCTGGTTATTTTTTGCATATGCTAAGATGATTATAAAACACATTTGTGGATCATGTTTGTGGAAACCTACGGAAAAAAGCACAAAAAAGATATGAGAAAGTGGATCAATTTTCTAAGTTCTCTCAAAACTTATAAACATTTTGTACTAAAATGTTCTCCGCCGCATACAAAAAAAACCTTATAAATGGGGAGGATTCCTTATGAGCTTTTTTTAAAGATCTTAACCAGTAAAAAAAATTGCTGTTGTTGCGCTCCACCTCAAATTTGAAACTTTTGGAGAATGAAAGCAACAAATTCTTGAGAAAGCGAGCTGCAGAATAAATTTTTCGGGCCAGCTCTATATTCTTCATAATCGATTGAAATTTTCTAGGCTCTATGAAATAGAAAACTATATACTCCAACCAAATTGTTAGGATATACCTTAATTGAGGAGGCTTATGTTGTTAAATTGATTTGGGAAACTAGCTTGAAAGATCTAAAAGTAAAAGATAATTTTGGCGCTTACTTTTTCTGTGTCCACAAAAACTCCTCGTGAAGTGTCCCCCCTCACTGTCAAAACCCCTCTGTCCATTGCCTCGCACACAGTCAATCTGTTCACAACCAATTTCTGAAATCATCATATAGTTATTTCAAAACTACTAAAAGTACATTGGTCAATTTGTAGTCAGAATTAAGGAATTTGTTCGGTACGGGTAGTTTTGCTTAACGATGGACTACGCTTTTGTCAATGGATTCTGCATTTTGTTAATGAGCTCCACCTTTTGTATCTAGGTTTTGCAGTTTCTTTGAACCTGAACAAATTTGTGCCGCTCAGCTGCGGAATCTAAAACGCCTTTGTCGGTGGAATTCAAAACTAGCATGGCTGAACATTTGTCTCCAAATTTCGCATGGTCTGTGGATTTTAGACAATTATCCGCTAGCTAAAATCCAATTTCAACGCCTAGTGTTTAATCATTTCTTTTAATCCGTCAGATTTTGGACTTCAAAGAATTTGCAAAAATCGTCACAACATAGGTGGTTTCCAAGTCAATACAGATGAAATGCAAATCACTAGTAAGGAACCAAGCTTAGCATTGTAATATGAACAAAAATGGATGTCAGAATGTCAAACTTCAGAAGGAAGTACCCCCTATAAACATCATTAGTAAAAATCACGTGGTATGTTCTTGACCCTGAGAAGCACTGACCTTGAACTTGAGGCCTTTTCGAGTAGTGGCTGTGCATCGTCTGTTGCCACTGATATAGAGATCTCTATTGGTTTTCTCCGTTGCAGATGTGCTGTGATGATCTCCTCGAATGGTTGGGGAGGGTGGGTTAGGGGGACAGTTGTCAGCATCCGACGAAAGAGACAGTGAGACGCTTGGATCGGAATCAAGCTGCTCGTAGCTGCATCTAAAAATAAATTTAAAACCCTCTTCGAAATCTTCAGACTCTGTGGTCGATCCTTCGCCATATATCAATGCTGCCGTATCGTTTTATCTCTAGCTTCAAGTCTACATCCTGTTCAATAGTGGTACGAAGTTTAGACGCAAAAACTACGGCCTTGTGTTGTGAAAAGAGTTTCACTCAGCAAAATAAATCTACTATTTTGTCAAAAAAAAAAAGTCTAGTATCGGGAGAAACAATACAGACGGACAATCCTTTGGTAGGCTGGCACTATTTGATAATTCCTGTGACTCGAAAACTAAACAAGACTGCTCGTATCAGGGCGAAGCCTTGAATGTTCCGACTGCCTTTTAAGGTTTATGGAGCAGTAATAACCAATAACATTAAAAAATTAAATGTAATAAAACAAAATGAAATTTTTTTTTCTAAAATTTTAAATTTTTATAAAAATTATCCCCCTACACACCAAATAAAGTACAAAAGGATCGATTTCGCTCCTTTTATTAAATCAATTATTGCAAACAAGCTTCTTTCAACCAATTTGGAACGGTTTCTAAGACGGATTAATTCTCCGCTTACGCGTTAAAAGCGCGAAATATATCGCGCGTTAATTGTACCAATTTGGCCAAAATGGCAATCTTTAAACCCCCATAACTTTACGAAAAACAATCACAGGTGAAATATCTTTTCAAATTTGAGCTCAGGACAACAATACCTTTTGAATAAGAATAAAAAATTTCATCAGAAATGGCTAGTTGTAGAAATTTGAAGTTTGTCTGAAAAAAAACCCACCCCGAGCACAAATATTCCGTTACTTTTGTATCGAAAGTCGGAACAATTATTATTACATTGAAAACACAACTAATTTGATATAAACAAGTTAACTTCTCAATTGGGTGTCACAAAACAGAATCAAAAGGGGGAGAGGGGTGACAAGGGTGGCCATATGGTCGAGCCTTGCGGGATTTTTAACATTTTGAGAGCGCCCCCACATCCAAACTTAGGCGTAAGCAATCGATTATAACGGATAGTTATCATGATTTTTCGACAATTATAACTAATACAAAAATTACCAAAATTAGGTAATGAAAAGATTTATAATCGATTATAATCGTAATATTTTTCAAGAGATTATAATCTAATATCATCGATTATAATTGAGTACAGTTCAAACAAAAAACTGTTTTAATCAATTATAATTTCACACAAAAAGTACAATCTATTTATAATTGATTATATTTGGATTTAACAAAGAGAGATTATAATCGATTATTAATTGATTAATATCAATTTGTTCTCAATTTTGAAAAAACTGGTAAAAAAACTGATTATCGTTCCAATTTTGTAACGAAAGTAACAGAATATTTGAGCTCGGGGTGACTTTCATAACGAAAATAATGGAATATTTGAGCTCGGGTGGGTTTTTTCTTCAGACAAATTTCGACTTTATAACTAGCCATTTTTCAAAAAGTATTATTATTTTGAGCTTCAATTTGAAAAGTTATTTTTACCTGTGATCGTTTTTCTAAAGTTATAGGGGTTTAAAGATTGACAGTTTGGTCAATTCGGGACAATTAATGCGCGATACATTAAGCGCTATTTACGCGTAATGGGAGATCTAATCCGTCTTAGAAATCGTTCCAAATTGGTTGAAGCAGGCTATTCGCCGTTATTGATTTGTTACTGGGAGCGAAATCTATCAATTTGTATTTTATATGTCGTTTGAGGGTATGATAAAAAATCCTAAATTGAAAAAAATGTTCATTTTTTATTATTATTAATTTTGATGTTACCTTTTTCATGTTATTACTGCTCCATATTCCTCAAACGTCAATCGGAACATTCAGGGCTTCGCCCTGATACAATCAGTGTTGTTAACGCTCGAAACTGGATGCGGGCCCCACCTAGCTCCGCTACTAATCCAATATGAGATCCAATTAGAAAATTAGCAAAGTGCATATTGCTGAAGTTTATATCAAATTAATGTCAGGTAGTTTTTTGCTTTTAATATAACAATAACTTAGTCTTTGAGGAACAGGGGATTTATCAATCACTGCCAGCCTATCGAAGAATAATCCGTCTGTATTATCTCTCCCCATAGTAGATTTCATTCCACTATTTCGACAGCAAACTGAATATCTTTTTATCGAGTAGTAGTTCGTGAGTGTAAACTTTGTATCAACTATTGAACAGTTGTGGTAGACTTGATATATAATAATGAAGGGGGACGCGCACCAAAAAAAATTTCAAATTTTTTTCAAAATTTTGCTAGCAGTTTAGAAAATTGTAGCAAAATAGGCTCTCTAATGTGTCTTCGGAGACGCGAGCTTTAAAAATCAGTTTGAATGAATTTCAAAATTCAAAATGATCAAAAAAGTCAAAATCTGCCCACTACGCTCTCGAGAAAATCCTCTTTTATAAGCTTTGTATGGGCCCGGGTTGACCAAAAATACTGGTCATACAATTTTCATATGTAAAAAATTGCTAATCATGCACTTTTCATGCAAACATAGGTACAAAAACAAGCATGAAAGGTCTATGATTAGTGATTTTTCATATATGGAAATTGTATGACTAGCATTTTCCCATTAACCAAAAAAAAAACATTCTTTTTAAAATTTTGTTTCTCAAAATTTTTGGGATGTGTTCGTGACCGAACAAAATGAAAAAAAAAACCATAATATACTCAAAACTAGAGTCACCAAAGGTTTGATTGTCTTGCATTTGCAATGCATTGGAAACAAACTGGATTGTATAACAGTATTCTTACACAAATAATATACTAAAAGAATCTAACTTTTAAATTTTGGCAAGAATTTTCAAAGATGATTATTTTTAAAATGTGAGTTTTTAGATTAGCAGACAAGTATCAAAGCATACATAACCATGCCATACAAAGAAAAGATTGTTAAATGTTTTTGAAAAAAATATATATATCCAGAAAAAAAACGGAAAAATCCAATTTTTGTGTATCCAGGACTTATGCACAGCAAAAATTTTTTTTGCAATAATGTTTGTTGAAAAAAATTTGGTTGTCGCCATCAAAAAAAAATGCTAGTCGTACAATTTCTATATATGGAAATTGTATGATTAGCGTTTTTTTCGACAAAAAGTGTTTTTTTTTTATTTAGTACGATACACCAATTTTTATGCCAAAATAAGAAAAAAGTTCTTTGAAAATTCGATGACACCATTTTAGCAAAATGTATGAAATTGAATGATTAATATTTTGTCATAGACTTGGTTTAAGGAATTGTATGGTTAGTATTTTTTGTCTATGGAGGTCAACCCGGGTAAGCGCATGTATGGGTTTGAATCGGTTCTGAATCAATCCTAAGTTGTCGACGCATGAACGGTTTTGACCATTTGCTGTAGAAATCAAGCAAAAAAGGAGTTTCTTTCATCATATTCGATCATCAATCACTCTGAGTACAGGCGGGGAAGGAACATCCCACTAATTTACACACATCTGATGCCAAGTTATGCCTTGCAGCTCAGTTATAACTAAGACAACTAACCGTAACTATTAACTAATACCCAGTTAACCTCAAAAAGAGTCTGCATGTTATAAATCCCTCATTAACCCATTCCTTCTTGCACTGTTGAATGCCTTTAGAAGAAGGAAGATGAGAAGGAAGACTTGGGGTACTCGACGGCAATTTTTGTTTCATTTCTGCTGATTAGGGGCAAGTAATTGAACCATATCCCGCATATACAGAGGGGCGGGTCGAATTTTACCCTGTGAAAATGAGCGCACAATGGTCTGAAGAATAACTGAAAGGAAGAAAAGATAAACGTGAAAAGCAGTTTTTATGGCTCCGTATCGCTCTTAAATGCCGGTTGTAAATCGGCACCGGACACCTGCGACCTAGCTCGAGTAGATTGTAATAGTAGGATCAGAAACTAATATGCGCAACATCACACCACCATAAATAGTCCGATTGCAATTAAAATTACAGACATAAGGAGAAAAACCAGAAGTGAGGTTGGCCAAAGGAACAAGCCTGGATGTATAGACGAATAGGGAGACGACCATACATGGGCTGGTCAAGGGCATTGTAAACAAACAAACAAAAATAAGTAAAAAACAAAGAACCCTCCCACTCCCTGAAATAACGCGATGTTAAACTTGCAAGAAACAACGGGTATTCGGGCGCAATCAAGGAGAGGATAAGCATCAGATACAAACTCAAGGACTAAATGATAAACAAAATAGATCTCAAGACAAGGTGTCAAACGTTTCTCTAGTTGATTACAACAACTTTATACCAGGCTGATATCATTCAAGTTTGCTTTAAGGTTGCCATGTAGGGATCTCTCTAAGTATTCCCATTTACAGTATCTGATAAAGACTATCTATAAAAGATAAATACAAATAACTAATTCAACAGATAACCATATGCGAATTTATTGGACGCCCTCTCCCCCGCAGGATTCGACCCCTGCCGACCCAAAGGGTCCGCCCCTTGTACTATTTTGAGATATCCATTTTTGGCTGAACGACCCTAAAATTTTTTTAAATTGGGCGCAAAATATACTAATTTTGAAGGGGGAGCGCGCGCCGAAAAAAGGCAATTTTTGGTCAACTTTTTCTAAAAAAGGCCTAAAAACCCCCTTTTTTGGCCATTTTTTTAAAGTTGCCTGCGGCGGAGAAAAGTTGGTCAAAATGGGGTCTTTATAGTGATTTGGGAGAGCTCAGAAGCTCTAGAAAAAAGGGTCGACCAAATTTTCGATTTTTTTTTTAAATCTACAAACCCCCCCCCCCCCCCCCCCCCCACCTCGAGAAAATCCTAGATCCGCCCCTGGCTTCAGGGGATATTTAAATAAAGAAACGCCTTGAAAATTATGACAATTTCTAAGTATAATCATTTTGTATAACTTGAAAGAGACCATCTGAAATTTAGTGGCCGATATCGAGATTCTTCTTGGAATAGATATATCTATCGGATCAAGTTAAAATCGAACCAAATCGGCCAATTTCAGATGTTACTCCCTTTTTTGAATTTGGTTTAAAATTTTTCCAACCTCTTTTCTGATGATCTCCGATTGATTGCATGAGACAAGGTAGAATCGTAATCACACAGGTCACCTGCACGTGACTCATTGGGGGGTACTCTGTGAGCATGACTCATTCTGTTGCATCCCCCGTCGGAAGGGGAGGAGGAGGTACTGGAAACAGAGTGGATCCTATTATGTTCCACACTGGTTTTTGCATCATGCGCAGGAGACTGTTGTCTTCGGCCAGCATAGTCGGCACTGGAGTCCCCATTTAGACGATGAGTCAATTCTTTGGCAATTGACGTTGATATTGTTGGTTCATTTTCCACTGCTGGTTTTATTGTCTTTCGCTCTAAAAATGGCGACTCGTTTTTAAACAGTTTTCGAGGAGAACTCGAGACTTTGGTAAGTTCGTGTGGCGACGAATGGCTGCTGGTTCTGGTTCGCATCATGTGATGTGAGGGTCTCGTGGCAATATTGTATGTACTTTCATGGCCATGGTGGCTTGTGAGGCCATTGGAGTTTAAGTGCTGCTCGTTTTTTCTTCTGAGAACCTTGATGGTGATCGTCTCCTGCTCATCCTCTTCGCCCCCCTGAAGTCGATGCCCTCCTTCTGACGACAATTTTGACTCGGTTTGGCTGGAGTGAGGTCGTGTGTCGATTTGAGGGGGGTGAGATTTTGGGGTTGGCGGTGGTGGGGGGTTAGCAAAGAGAGATAGTGTTTGTTCGTGCGATAGACTCCGCGTATCAACACCATTAACCTACAAATACAATGTTTTTGTCAACGTTAAATTTTTTGTTTGCATTAATTTTTTCCTAAGTCCTATACAAATGAAAATTAGGCGAAATATCAAAACTAGTCACAAGTTACTTTAAAAATTTTTTGAAAAAAATTGTGGATATAAAGTTTTGTGACCGCTCACTGCTAATAAAAAAACTGACAGAAAAGAATTTAACAAGATTTATTTTGTACAAACTAGGGCTCTGTAAATTCCCCTAAACACTTATTTTTCTATAAAGACAAGATTAACCAAATAATTATTAAAAATTAAATTGGGTCATGTTTCTACTGGGGTTTCTGACGAAACTTCTCAAGTTCAACTACAAAATTTGAGCGCAAATTCAGTAGAGGCTATCCACCCACCGGAAAATGAACTTATGTCAAATAAAGTAGAAATAATTTTTTTTCTGCTTTGCGTGCTATAAGAGTGTCAAAACCTGTCATATTTGCAAACAGAGCCTTGTTTATGCCCCCTCTCAATTGCAAATCTATTCAAATTAGGAGAAACAAATGGAATACATGACAAGTCAGGTGCACTCATTTTTCACTCCGCAAACGTCTCATTAAGCAAACAAATGCGATGTCAAACAGGCAGTTTATGAATATATTTTGTGTTTTATCATTCTGTTCTTCGAGACAATTTCGGACAAATGATTGATGCCATTCTCACTTTTTCTGGGTTTTTGAGTATTTCTTACGTTTAGCTATTTTTTTTACTGGGTTGACGCAATTTGCGAAACAATTTTATGCTCTTATGAAGCATTTATATGCCAGCGGTCTCTTACTTTTGTTGTGAAAAAGGCCTCAAATTAATTCACATTTGTTTTTGAATTAACAGAAGAAGCAACGTTTTTACTTGTTTTTGTTCCGACTTTCGTAACTAAAGTAACGGAATATTTGTGCTCGGGGTGGGTTTTTTTCTTATACTAACTTTGACTTTTTAACTAGCCATTTTTGGCAGAATTTTTTTACATCATTCAAAATATATTATTGTCTTGAGTTTAAATTTGCGAAGATATTTGTTCACATGTGATCAATTTTCGCAAAGTTATGGGGGTTTAAAAATTGCCATTTTGGCCAATTTAGGAGAATTAAAGAGAGATATGCTTCGCGATTTTAACGCGTACGCGGAGATTTAATCCGCCTTAAAAACCGTTCCAAATTGGTTAAAGGAACCTTATTTGCCAAACTGATTTGTTAATGGGAGCGAACTCTATCACTATGTTTTTTATATGGCGTGTGTGGGGTGATAATTTTCACAAAATTCTCAGTTTTTTTTTGTTTTTAATTTCATTTTGTTACATTCAATTTTTTTTATGTTATTACTGCTCAATAGCTTTTAAAAGGCAGTCGGAACAATCAGGGCTTCGCCCTGATACGAGCAGCCTTGTTTGGATTTGTGCAAAATTTGTTTCGAAATTTTCAAATTTCAGCTTGAATCGAGAAAAAACAGGTTTAAATTCAATGCCTTACACTTTGTTCCAAACACAATGCCGAGAATTTTTTTCGTCTGTGTTTTAGTTGGTTTCTTTCCACGCAAAGGCAGGTACCACAAAAACTATCGGAATCGGTCAAGTGATATATTACATTAAATTTCTTTTAGTCGTGACTTGAACGGTATTAATAAAATTCGAAGAAACCATCTCAGTGTTGAGAAAATTCAGTTTGAAGTTTTTGATTTTTGGTCTACCTTCAAGCGAATAATGTGAGCGAGAAGAATTATTTTGTTTTTCAACCAAAAAACATTTACCGCAAGTAATCATTTTACTGAATAGATTGTTTTATCTTACTAAACTTTTTTCGTCTTGGTTCGAAAAACATTTTTAAAATTTCAAAAAGTTGTCCCAGTGGCAAGAAAAATTTATTGGAAAATTTTGAGTGCTAGTCTAATTTTGAGCAAGTAAAGCAAACAAGCAGGCTTTTTATAGAAGAATAAGCCATAAAATTGTAGTTTTTTCTTCAATAATAATATTGTTTGAAAATTTTAAGCGCCATCTTTAAAAGTTTCCAAAATTTTTTTGAAAAAGCAAGATTTTTTAAAGAAAAAATGTGGTCGGAATATTGTGAGCTACTTGCAGTAGTTTAGGTAATTTTCAGTGGAGAAAAAGTGAACACTCCAAGTTTGATTCGAACTGCAATAAAAAAAACGCAAAGATACAGAAAAAAAACTTTCTAAAAAAATCAACTTTTGCATTTCAAATTTGAAATATGTTATTTTAAAGCTCTTTCATTTTCCAGACTAAAATAGGATCAACACTTTATGAATAAAAATACCTCAATTTTAGAAACTTTGACCAATAAAAAATTTATACCTGTGCTGAGGTATCTTTAATTTTCGCAAACCAAGACATTCACGTTTTTTTTTACTTTTCCAGTTTTTGTAATTAAAGAGCATAATTTGATGTGGAGAAAACCCGAAGTTTAGAAAATCAAAAATCAAGCCGTAGAAAAAACAATTGGTGTGAACAAAACATAGGACTTTTTTTGGAGAAAAAAAACAAAAAAATCAAATCGATCTTTTTTTATCTTCACTACGCTCATTGATACTCAATAAACACGAAGCAGAGATTTAAACATAAAAAACTTTGCTTCATTCAAAATGAAAAAAAAACGCTTCTAAAAGAAAAATTACACCGATTGATCTTTCAACTTCCCTGAAACCTAATTAAATGTTTGATTATTAACAAAAACTTCTATTTTAAAGTTTGTTTGACATTAGCAGTTCAACAGTCAACAGGCGCTAAGTTTGAGGCGTTGAATCTAATAGAGCCCATGCAAACGTTCAGAGAAAAACGTTTGAGTCTTATCACCGAGTGTCTTAGTTGGTTGTCAATTTGAACAGTGCGATTAGTTTGTTGGACAAATTTTCAAATAGAGTAACTATATGTATGCAGTATGCTTAAGTTACTTTTTTAGACATATTTCGGTTATTGCAAAGAAAAGGTAATGAGTATTCTGTTAACGCTTTTTTATTCAGATAAATATACATGATTGTTCAGATAAAATGCAAAAACATTTCTGACAAAATCACAATTTGTACCAGGTGCAAAATATCACGCAATTAAACCTAGCAGGTATTACTAGCCCTCAACTAGTGTTTTTTGCCGAATTCGGTCAACTTTAACTAAAAACGTCAGCAGGAAAATCAAAACAATGAATAATTTGTTTCTGTTTCAAAGTTTTTCAATTCGTTTTTGAATTTTTTGTAGCGTGTCATCATTTGTTGACGTTTCTATCAATTTGCCTTTCAGTGGTTAATTTTGTTCTTCTTTTTAACAAGTAAATCGAAGTTAATCGAAGTCTAACCCCAAACCATCAAATTTGAGCATGAACAATTTTTAAAACTTTTTAGGGCAATTTTTCTGTTTTTTCGTTCACAAGCGTTCTAAGTGCGACAGATTAAACATCAGTACCAACTGTTTCCATTTGTTTTTCAAAGAAAGTAGCGTAACATGTACGCTCTGGTGCATCTTTTTCTGCCGCCAATTGGAGTTTTTTATTTGCAGAAAAAAAGTTGCGTCAATTTTTTTTGATAATATCTGAAAAATGCACAAGACTGCTCGTATCAGGGCAAAGCCCTGAATGGTTCAGTGTCTATTAGGGTCTATGGAGCAGTAAGAACAAGAAAAAATCAAACGTAATAATATAAAACGAAACTTTTTTTAAACTAATTTTTGAGATTTTTTTTGTGAAAGTCTTCGCCCCACATGCCATTTGAAGTATAAACTGATAGATTTCGCTTCTAGTAACAAACCAATTAGGGCAACTAAGCTTCCTTCGACCAGTTTGGAACGATTTCTGTGTTGGGTTAAGCCTCCGCTCACGCGTTAATAGCGCGAAATATATCACGCGTTAATTGTCCCAAATTGGCCAAAATGGCAATCTTTAAACCCCCATAACTTTACGAAAAATGATCACAGGTAAAATATCTTTTCAAATTTAAGCTCAGGACAGCAATACCTTTTGAATGATATAAAAAAATTCTGTCAAAAATGGCTAGTTAAAAAGTCGAAATTTGTCTGAAGAAAAAAAACCCACCCCGAGCACAAATATTCCGTTACTTTCGTATCGAAAGTCGGAACAACAAGACTCCTCGTATCAGGGCGAAGCCCTGAAGGTTCCGACTGCCTTTTAAGGTTTATGGAGCAGTATAATAACCAATAACCAATTTTGTTTGTTTTGAATGTAAATCAGTTTGCTTATACCAATTCTAGTACTTCAAATGCGTTGGCGCGCAATCGAAAAAGCTTGTTCTGATTTTTATGAGGCTTGTTCTGGTAATAGAAAATTGTCTGGGGGAGAAAGAAAGTTTCTGCCCGGAGGTAGAAGCAGATAAAACACAATTTGTCTGGTCATTTCGTCTGGCCACAAAACTAACAAGGTTTCTCACACCAGGAAAAGCTATTCAATCTTTCGAAATTTCTTTTTTGTTCCGATTTTCGAAAACAATTTTATGCATGAGTGATTTTAATATTCAAACCAACACCGAAACATTTTTAAAGCTTATTTAACGGATACTTTTAAACTATCTGAAAGATATCAATGCAATGGGCCCAAATTATAAGAAGCTTTCCTTGTTATTGCTTTTTATAAACTAATGGGGGTTTGCATTCAGGACAAATTCGCCAACTTGTGATTATTATATATAATTTATTTGAGCTTAATATCACTAATAACTTTTAGTTGGTGAGAATTCCGTCAAAATATTACAATGGCCGCTTAGTTTTTTTCTCAAAAAACTATCGAATAAAATTAATTTTTTCTAATCAACCATTGCAAAAACTCTACAATCAGAGCTTCAAAAGAAAAAAATAAGAGAGGTGGGCAGGGCAACATGAAAGTTGAAGTGTTTTTAATTGTTTAAATGAAACTATAAGCCTCATCAAAAAATGCTTTGAACTCATTATTATCGTGGCTTGATTTGAATTTAAGCTTCAACATATTTTACTCAATACTCAGACCACGCCTTCAAGCAAAAAA